CTTGAGATATTCAATTGAAACTTACAATACTTATTTATAGTAACAAGGTACATCAGATTGACAAGTTGGATAACTCTGCCTACAATATTGACAGAATAATGCCCCTTTTTAACTTAGAAATTTTGGTTAAAGTTTTTTGTAAAGTCAAATATCTCAATTATTGCTTGACATATTCAATTGAAACTTACAATACTTATTTATAGTAACAATGTACATCAGATTGACAATTTGGATAACTCTGCCTACCATATTGACAGAATTATGCCCCTTTGGAACTTAGAAATTTTGGTTAAAGTTTTTTGTAAAGTCAAATATCTCAATTATTGCTTGAGATAATCAATTGAAATTTAAAATACTTATTTATAGTAACAATGTACATCAGTTTGCAAAATTGCATAACTTTGTCTGCAATATTTGCAGAATTATTTGCCCCTTTGAAACTTAGAAATTTTGGTTAAAGGTTAACGGTCTTCAAAGATATTTACTTGAAACTTTACACATGCACTTAGGGTCATAATTGGAGGGTCATAATTGTATGTCACTGACCAAGTTCCATAACTCTATCTTGCATTAAGGCTGATTCATATCCCCTTTTCTACTTAGTTTCTTGGTTAATGTTTACATGCAAGTTTTAAATATCTCAATAACTATTAAAGATATTTATTTAAAACTTCACATATGCATTTAGGGTCATAATTGTAGGTCACTGACAAAGATCCATAATTCTATCTTGCATTTAGGCTGACTTTTCTCCCCTTTTTCAACTTAAAAACATCTTAATAACAAGCCTTTGTACCTTTTCTGTCAAATTTATGTATTCATAGGTAATAAGTATTATTATACTCAATAAAAAACCCTTGTGACATTACCTTCCTAATAGTCAAGCCAATTCTGTATAATTAGACTCTCTCTAAGGCCTATAACATGAATTTATAAAAAAAAATTAGCCCTTTTGTGAACTTAAAAAAATTTAACAATATCAAGGCTCTTTTACTATCAAGCACTTAGAATAGTCGAGCGTGCTGTCCTACAGACAGCTCTTGTTTTTGTCTCTATTACAATGACTGAAATCCAAATTTTGTATTAGTTCAACTATTCGAAGAATAGGGAGAGCTATTGTTCTCACCCAGGCGTCGACGATGCCTAATAATTTGGTTTAAGTTTCTGCATGCAGGTAGGAATCTCCAAAACTAGTGGGATGAAACTTCACACACTTATTTGAGTGCATAATATGAGGTCATTTCAAGGCCCATAACTCCAATATGGATTTTGACAGAATTATGGCCTTTTTGAACTTGATAAATTCTTTGTTATCGAGGCTCTTATTTAACTATGAAGCACCGAGAATAGTTAAAAGCTCTTGTTTTTGGGGGTGTTTTTTTTTTGGTACCAAATTATTTTTTGTATGTTTAGAAATATTGGGTCATTTATTGAAAGATTGTTTTGTTGAATAAATATTTCATTGGCTTTTCAAGTAAATGGCATCATAGTCCTGAATCATGTTGCTTAGCAACAGATATCTTTATTTTTATATGAAAGTTTTGGTGCTAATACAGTCTGTCTCTGTTATTCAAATTTTTATGAAATTTAGATTTATTATTCATGTATTTTTTGGTATATGCTGCTGCTTTTTCTGTAAGACCTCATTGGTTACTTAGCGAGGGTTGACTTTTTATTATTGTATTTTAAACAACTTAGTTCATCTCACATATCTCACAACTATAAGAATTATTCTTATACCAGTAAAGGAGAAACACCATTCATTATTGTAAAGAGTAAAGGTGTTACTGCCTTGACATTGATTTCTATTTAAGAAATGATATATCCCCAACAGTGATTTTATCGCTCAATAACATCACTGTTTTGAGTTTGGATGCGACAACTTATATCATAAGTGTGTCACTAACCCCCTATATGGGGAGCAGTGGCCTAGTGGTTAAGGTGTCTGCCTCTCAACTCAGGTACTTGGGGGTCACAACCATGTTTCTTCATATGACATGATTACTGGTTGGTTCTAGAAAGTAGACTCGAAAGTGATGAATTTAAGTTGCAAGAACTTGTTTTGCAATTGAGCTTAAATAAATATCTTTAAAAAAAACCTGTACAGAGTGGAATTTTTTCCAGATTCGTTTTTTGTTTTTCAAAGACATAGTTTGAAGTGCCAATGGATAACATGTACTCGTAAAGATTTGCTTGTGCCTGTTAAAGCCGCTGCAATAGTGATTCAGATGTGGTAAATTACCTAAAGTACTTTTCCCATAATTATATGATAATATATAAATTTCGATAACACGGTCAACTTTGGAAGTATTTTGTTTTTATTTTGCGCAGACACCCATAGAAGGTGTATTGACTTTTCCTTAGCTGGATTATTCTATTGTGTAATAGTTGATTGAGTAACAGACTTTGTCTACAAAACATTTGTAATTAAGGACCACCCTCATACATGTTATTACATCCTTACCAATTGCTTTATGAAATTTTTTTTATTTAATTGTAATTGAATTTTTGTTACCGACATGTAAAAACTAAAGTCATATTGTATTTTTTCATATAGACAATATAAAACTCTTATAATATCTTTAATTTATATTTTAGCAATATATGAATGTTGTGCCAATTTAAGCAGAGAAACCAAAATCTTTTGTGTTTGAAAGAATGGTAAAAATTAAGTTCATTTTTTTATCTTTTATTTCAATGTGTTTATGTGATTATGTTCTTCAATTTTTGTTTCTCTTATATGCATTGATTTATGCTGAAATTGTGAGAGTGGTTTATTTTTAATATGTTTTCTCAAACCATTATTTGATTTGTTTTTATTACCAGAATTGTGTTCCGCTTATTGTCATTATTTTATTTGATTTTCGTTTTTAATTTTGCATTTCTATAAAATGCTTTTTTAGATTTTAACCAGAATGCTTTTGCAATACGATACTGATTTTTTTTTTTTTACAAATTTTGTTGTTTTATAGTTTGTATAGACAAGTGGAGAATTTACATGGATTTTGCTTGAGGTGGGTTCATTAAAACAAATTATAATATACCATTATTAAAATTTGCACATTGATATATGTTGATTTAGTTTAAAAGAACCAAACTCAGAAACCTTTGTTCTCCAATCCTGCTACAAATAATTTATGTGCAGAATATGAGTTGAGAAGAAATAAAGGGTAGTACTGGTTAAGGATCTGGGTAAATTGGATACATTTGTATATATCAACTGCTTACACACACCCAAAACCCACCCACCCTCACCCGGACACACACACATGCACCCTCTTGCATGCAACACCCCACACATGCACCTCAGCACAGGCACCCTCCCACACAAAGATCCCCCCCCCCCAGGTCACCTATTCTAAATTTGGATTCTTACATCATTATAGGCAAAGTACCTGAAATAATAAAAGATAATGTTTTTAATTATAATCTGGGATGTGGAATTATTGACAAACATGTCTTTCAATGAAAAAAGGATTTTTTTTGTTAGGAATAATTTCATCCTGTATACTATGGGGCATTAAATTACAGATATCACCAACTTAGTGCAGTAATGGGTTAGCTGCGATAAATTTACTTCTTAATTATTAAGAGGTTGATCAATTACTGCACAAAGGGGACGATATGGACTCTTGTGTCAATCACTTTTGAGAAAGGAATACTAGTGTATCATATAAGTTGTGCAATTTTTATTGTTGTATATTTTGACAGTTATATACATGTAGTGTTTCATTTTCTTTAAAGCCTCCAGATACTTGCTAATATTCATAAATATTTTGAAAATGTATTTAAGAGTAAAATATTGTGAAGTGTCCATGAATTCCCTTATATATTTGATGGATAGTTGCTTTATTATAAGATTTGTGTGTACATTTTATTTGTTAAAGCTTTCCTTACTGATTATGTTCCTGTTTTGTTTTGTTTTTTCTGCACTAGTCTAAAAAATAACACAAGAATCTTGAAACTTATATACAAATTGTGTTTGCCTTTATTTTAATTTTCTGCACTAGTCCTCACTTATATATTATGCATAAACCATATTTATTTTAAGTTTGTTTTTACATAACTCAATTTAACTGGTATATTCTAGGTTTAATCTGCAATAAATCATTCTTGATTTCACCTAGTCAATTTTGCTACAGTATTACTTTCATTCTAGTTGATTGATTGGTTTAATCAAAGAAATATTTAAAAAATCTTGCCATTTTCTGTTACAAAAAATATATTCCTATTTAAAGACCCATTATGCCTCAGAAATAACCATCATTTTATTTCTCAAAAACTGTTTTATTTTTGGTATCTTTTAACAGTTTCCAAAAAACACTCATTTGCCATATGCATAAACTATCTTTTGCTGATTTTGTCATGTTGGCATAATTGGTATAATTATAGTGAATTAGTATTTTGTATGAAAGTCAAAATACTACTTTGTTTACATTTTGCTATCTTTATGACACATCACTGCATGTTCAGCGCTCCTTTTTTCACTTGTTGATCATTTACATACTCCTAAACCATTGTCAAAACATTATTAAACACATGTTAAACATTTAACAAGAATTGAGAAAATAGGGATTTCTGAGGCATAATGCGCCTTTAATGAAATTATATAGAATCTTTGACTGTCTTGTGACAGTTAGTATAAACTGATGCTACCTTTATGGTCAGGCCAGGCTACTGGTTAGTTTTTGTGCATTTTGACATAACACTAATGAGTCTATTCTATTTGCTGTTCTGTTCTGTTCAATTCTTCAACTGAATGACCTTGAACTATGAATGGACTGTTCCAAATTTAAAGCAGGGTAAGTCCATTATAAGCACAACTATTTGCTGTTCATTTCTACAATTCTGATATTGTATTACCTTTAACTTTAAATGGACTGTTCCCAATTTAAAGTAGGGTAAGTCCATTATAAGCCTTAAGCACAGTATAGGTTTAGAAGAAAGAATTTCATAGTATTTTCAATATTTTATTTTTTTTCTACATAGACAAGCACATAATATTATTTCAGAGTCAGACTTGTTAGTTTGAAATTATACATGTATATACATGTATGTGTAGAATCTAGATTATCTATAGAATTTAGTCATGCTTTATATTTCCAAATAAATGTATACATAATCATGTACTTGTTTGTTCTTCTTGATTCTAGTGTTTGGAGAAAGTGGATAAATAAATCTCCGCCTATTTCAATAATTTCATGCTCATTATTTTGCCTGAATGCTAACACATGTTTAACACAGGTTTTCAAATGGAGTTGGTTTTTTTGGGGGCTTTATGTCGCACCAACACAGTACAAAGTAATGTCATGGCAACTTCCAGCTTTTACTGATGGAGAAAGACCTTAGGTTGCTTTCCATTCATAATTTCAAACACAAACAGGCTCCTGAGTAGAACCATTGATTGATGATCTGTAAGCAAGCTGGATAGCTTTCTCACATGAAGGAATCCAAAGAATCCTTGTGTGAATCAAACCCACAGTGGTAAGGGGCAAGTGGTTTGAAGCCAACAACAATAACCACTTGGCCACAGATCCCACCAAATAGAGGTAAAACATTAGTTAAAGTAGTACAGTATACCTTTTTAAGGTTTACACAAAGTTCTAGTGTAAATATGAGCAGGGTATTGTCCATGGTGGAAATACAAAGGAGGGAAATTGTTTGTTTTAATAAGTGCCCCTCGAAGGATTTTTCCACAAAATGTTGAAGTTCAATTTATCAAAATTAGATTTAATCTTCATCGCTATTTACATCACACCCAGCAGAAAATATCTTTGATAAAAATGCTTTCTTTTTTCCTGGGTCTTTCACAGCTGCGCCATCCCTTGCTAGTCTTTGTTTTTTAGCTCCATCTAAAATAAATTTGTTTTTAGATTTTCGTTTATTTATCTCATCTTCTGTTTCTTTTAACCTTATCACATTTACTCTTTCATTATCATCCTTTTCTTCATTTAATGTCTCATTGTCTCCATTTTCACCATCTTCTTTGGCTTCCTTTAGTCTCTTTTGCTTCTTTTCTATTTTTTTCAGTCTTTGATTCCTTTCTGCATTTTGAATATGAAAGTTTGCTTCGCGTTTAGCTTGTGATATTTCTGCTCGCATTCTCTGAGAATGAACAGCCTTTTCATATGCAAGTCTCTCGTTTAAATGAGTCCATTTAAACCTATGAAGATATTTCATGTTCCATAACTCTTCCCTCCATTTGTTTTTCTTCTTGCCTGTAAAAAATTGAATAAACATATATTTATTAAACATTTATATATATATATTTAATCTGTTATTCATAACTGATCTGGTATCTTTGTTTAAACTTCACTAAATATTGATAGGATAAGTAAAAAGAAAATTTGATGTCAACACCAGGGATGTTTATGTTATTTTAATATCTACCGGTTTGGACCTTCCGTGAGGTCTTCGTCAGGATTCATTCACTAAATGTTGAAAAGAGCAGAGAACAGAATTAAATATAAGGATTTTTATTTTTATACATGTAGTTCAGCATGTATAACAACAATAACATCTGCTGTCAACAATATGACAAACAAACAAAAACAAGAGGGTCATGATGGCCCTGAAATCGCTCACCTGTATATAGGCCCCCAGGGCGGGGCCAATTTTAACACAGGGGCTTTTATTTGAACAAGCTTGGTAGACACCCATTTAAGGATGTTCCATGATAAATATCTAAGCTCTAGCTGTAAGAAGATTTTTTTAAAGTTTTTACTATACACATATAGGGAAAAACAATGATCCCCCTCCCCTCTGGGTGGGCCCAATTTTGTCTCCAGGGCTTTTATTTGAACAAACTTGGTAGTCACTCACTAGAAGATAGTTCATGCTTAATATCTAAACTCTAGCTCTTTGGGGTTTTTAAAAGAAGATTTTTTTTAAAGTTTTTACTATATACATATAAAGAAAATCAATGATCCCTGGGGCAGGGCCATTTTTAACCCCAGGGCCCTTATTTGAACAAAAATGGTAGACACCCATTAGAAGATGTTTCATGCTAAATATCTTAGCTCTGGCTCTTAGGATTTTTTTAAAATAAGATTTTTTAAGTTTTTACTATAAAAATTATGCATTTAGGGAAAATCAATGGCCCCCTGGGGCTGGCCAATTTTGACCCCAGGGCTTTTATTTGAACAAACTTGGTAGACACTCACTAGAAGATGTTTCATGCCAAATATCTAAGCTCTAGCTATTTGGGTTTTTAAAAGAAGATATTTTAAAGTTTTTTCTTTTGGTTGCCATGGCAACCAGAGTTCTGCATGGAATTAAATTCTTTGAACAATCTTTTTAAAGGTGACCACCAAAGGAACATTCCTGTGAAGTTTAGATGAAATTGGCCTAGTGGTTTATGAGGAGATATCATTTAAAGTAAAAGTTTACGGACGCTGGACGAAAAGCGATTACAAAAGCTCACCCTGTCACTTTGTGACAGATGAGCTAAACAAGAGCTGTCGGTAGGACAGCAACGCTCGACTATTCTTAGTGCTTGATAGTAAAAAATATGCTTGATACAGTTACCTCCTCCTGTTTACAGGTTGGGGTCATGATGGTGAACAAGTGTGCAAAGTTTCAAAGCCAATGTCAATGACTTTGAAAATATTTGAACTATTACAAAAACTTTAACGTAAATTCTAAGTCGAAAAAGGGGGCATAATTCTGTCAAAATGCTTGATAGAGTTACCTCCTACTGTTTACAGATTGGGGTCATGATGTTGAACAAGTGTGCAAAGTTTCAAAGCCATATGTCAATGGACTTTGAAAATATTTGAACTATTACAAAAACTTTAACGTAAATTCTAAGTCGAAAAAGGGGCATAATTCTGTCGAAAATGCTTGATAGAGTTACTCCTCCTGTCTACAGGTTGGGGTCATGATGGTGAACAAGTGTGCAAAGTTTCAAAGCCATATGTCAATTGACTTTGAAAATATTTGAACTATTACAAAAACTTTAACGTAAATTCTAAGTCGAAAAAGGGGCATAATTCTGTCAAAATGCTTGATAGAGTTACCTCCTCCTGTCTACAGGTTGGGGTCATGATGGTGAACGAGTGTGCAAAGTTTCAAAGCCATATGTCAATGGACTTTGAAAATATTTGAACTATTACAAAAACTTTAACGTAAATTCTTAGTCGAAAAAGGGGCATAATTCTGTCAAAATGCTTGATAGAGTTACCTCCTCCTGTCTACAGGTTGGGGTCATGATGGTGAACAAGTGTGCAAAGTTTCAAAGCCATATGTCAATGGACTTTGAAAATATTTGAACTATTACAAAAACTTTAACATAAGTGGTTACGCCGACGCGGACGCCGACGCTTGGGTGACTGCAATAGCTCTACTTATTCTTATCGAATAGTCGAGCTAAAAACAAACAAACAAAAAAACACTGTCACACTTCCTAATGAATATATAACCTTTTAACTTCAATTTTACATTTCAACACTGCAACAACTACAAAAACAAACTTATAGGCTTACAGCAAACAAATTTTAAGTTCACTAAGTCTGAATGTTTTCCAGAAATTTAGGAAATACTCTATATGTGCCAGTATAAGTACTGACATATAGGTAGTGACGACTTTCCTGCTCAACAAAGTGCTCTATTGGAAATGATAACAAATAATTACCTACAATGTACATTTAAAGATAATATTTTTTATCTTTGCACCTAACTAGTCAACCAAGTATTCATACTTTGTAGTACATGTTATACATGCAACCAAGCATTCATACTTTGTACTAATCTGACAAGGCTACCAAAATGATTTTACTTCCATTGAATTTTAAGCAAAATAACACTAAAAATCATTATCTAAAGTGTACACTGTATAATTTTCATAGTTTAAATACAATGTATAAATGTCTTTTTTTTTAGTTCTATTTAGGAAATCAATGGATTTAACAAGAATACTTTAAATCACCGTGAAACATTTAAATCACTACACTGACCTCCAATCTGGGTATTGTTCAAGCTTGCAGCAACCTTCTTTGCTACCCGCTTATCACGAAATTCCAGCCATCCTTCTGAAAATATTCGTCCCCTCTTCCCTCTTGCTTTAGCCTTTACTGAAAAAAAATATATAAAAGGGCCATATGAAAGTATAAGGATATTGTGTAAAATTTATGTGTTGCTATCAACAACATATTAACAAATACATTTTAAGGTTTAACAGTAAATAAGAATACGCAGAAAAGCCTGCTTGACGGTCTGAATAACCATAATCTATTCAGCTCTTTCATTGACTTATTTTCATAAACATTATGTTCAAAAGTAATGAACTGCTCATTTATACAGGATTTGACATTTATAAATGCAAGATCCACCTAGTCTCAACGGTAGCAAGACACCTCACCCCCCAGACACTTCACCCCTCAAATTTTGAAGACACTTCACCCCTTAAGACACTTCACCCCCCAAAATCAGTAAGACACTTCACCCCTCATCCAATTTTGTTCTATAAAGTAAATAAAACAAGTTGGTCTACAACAAAATGCTTATATATGTTTATATTTATTATTTTTAGTATTATTTGATTAAAAATTTTGCATATTACCTTTATTTTTACTAAGTTTAAAGCTGATTTAGGTTAATTCAATGGTTGTATTGCCAAATGATATATCACAGCACTTTCATCCATTAAGTGTTAATTGCATGTCACCTTGTTTATTCCACATGTTGATTAGTTGTTTATTCAACGGTTATCTCACAATTGATTAGATAATTGAATTAAAATGGTATAATTGTATGAAAATTAAATTTATTCTTAATAAATAAATTAAATAGATAAATAAATAAATAAAATGAATATAAATGAATATGAATGAATGAATCAGTTGCTTTATAAAATATAGTAAATATAAATTATTTATCATCATTATCAGACACAATTATCCTGCATTTAATACAAAGATCATTCATAATGTCATTTATTAAACAAATAAATAGCACCAGTTATGTAAATTAAGCACAAGGTTAAAGCACAAACCATCACCAAATGAACGTAACTCAATTATTATTATATGGTAAGGATCAAACTGAAATCAAACTTAATTCAGTACCAAAACTTCAAGAATTAAATCAACTCAAAATTTATTAGACAATGGCTTAAAACAATAAACATATACTCAATCACTATTGAATGTATTTAACATAATCTACATAAATAATTGTTTAACACAAAATTAAAAAAAAATGAGGGGTGAAGTGTCTCAATCAAATTTCTTAAAATGAGGGGTGAACTGTCTGAGGGGTGAAGTGTCTGCAAAAAAGGGCCTAGGGTGAAGTGTCTGGGGGGTGAAGTGTCTGTAAGCCGTCTCAACCATGGTCAACAACTCTGTCCTGTCCTTATTTACGGTCTGTCTAAGTACAGTCCCCCCATCCCTAAGTCCCAATTAAAAGTCAGAATCTTTTTGCTGATAGCTTTTTAACTGTGGTCTGTATGAACAAAACAGTTGCCATTATTTTTCACGTACCCCACCCACCAAATTCACCGTAAAAATATTATACAAACCATCTGGTTGGAGAAACACCCGCCCTAATTCTCCAAAGTTTTCAAAGTAACGTCTTATAATGCTGACATTCATCAATGTTGGGATTCTGCTTAAGTAAATTATTCCACTTTCAACAGTTTTTTTCTTCTTTTTTGTTTTCAAATCAGGTATTTCAGACACGTTGTCTTCCATGTTGGATATTCGGATGTCACATTTACGATAAAATCCGAAGTCGTTCGAAAAGAGGCTGCATTCGTACTTTCTACTTCTCAGAGGAAGCAAAAACAATCTTTATTCGATTTTATTGTCTTTATTTTATAATATAAATTAAGAATTTGTGTATTATTATATTGATCTAGCTTTAAAACTTTTGCTACCCACTACTGTTAACTAGCTTTTCGTACGAGGAAGGGACGTTTGTAAGTTTTGTTCAGGTGTTTTTTTTTCTTTCTGAAAAATCTATTTTCATTTTCAACAGTTCAATATATATCTGATTATTTTATTGTCTCTTGTACAACTGTTTACTTTTTGCAACAGTCTTTGACTAAATGACTTATCATTGATTATGATAAGTCAGTCTATCATGATTTTTATGTTTTATTCATTTTAGTAAAAAAAAAAGAAAGACAAGTAGGATTAACAAAACAAAATAAATAAAACAAAAAAAAAAAAACCCATAGGTATAAAGATTTTCTGTTTGTGCCATGCAGTAATTTTTTTAAGCTGGGCAACACATGTACCAGTTCCATTTTTTACCTGGTCCCTTCAAGTTCAATCCAGTCTCAATATTTCGACTGCAAGACCGACCAAATTTACAAAAATATATTACATTAGTTTCGGTCAATCTAAGAAAAAGCTGTAGCGCGTAATTTGTTGGGGTACCCACTATCGCGTATTTGGGACTTTGACTTGGGACAAGCTGGGCACTGATTTAATCTGACCCTGCTGGGAACAGTCTGGTGGTAAATTACCACTTAGTACACAATAGGATTGGTTTAATAACCCAGCTATTTTCAGCGTTAATTGAAAACAACATCAATGGCATGACCGTTCTTGAACACCTGTGAAAGAAAAATCAATCCAATGCTTTCACTGTGAACACCAATTTGGTTGGGTGTCAATATTGTTAGTTAGTTTAATATATAATATAATGGACATGTATGCAACTGTATGTTAATATCATGACCAGTGTTAGCAATTTTCCCTAACTTTACCGAGTACCTGGGCCTCAGTGCTAATAGATTTGTTACATCCCAATTCAAATGGGACGAGTCTTCAATTACAAAAATTTTAATGTTTACATAACTTCATAATACAATCAAATTTGTGACTGTTGATGTTTGCGGATACCATTGATAGGTTGGCCCAAAAGGAGGCCGCATCTGCATTGCTAATGACAAGGAAGAAATCAAAATGAGGTGAAAGTCAAGTTCTTCTAATTTAATTAAAGCAAATAGAAAAT